TGGTACTCTGAGCTACCCTCCCAGCCTCATGTGATTTTCTATATGAAAAGCCATTAATCTTTTCCTTTGTGACTCATTAATCTCTTCATTCTTTGCCTAGAAAATCGATCTCTTTTAGAGATGCAATAAATGTTTCATCGTTTTTGCTTCTGCACTTTCTTGGTTTTTAACATATTTTATTCATTAACCCAATAGTAACTTATTTTGTGATATGTTAATCTAAATCATATTGCCCCAGACTAATCAATCCCATTCCATTTAATGAATGAGCCTTTCTTTTTCTATCGATTTATCAGGCGGGGGGCTGGATGTGTGGCTCAGTGGTAGGATGCTGTCTACCATCCATAGCACTGAAAAAAAGAAAGAAAATAGAAAAGAATGAAAAGAAAGGAAGAAAGTAGTTTTTTTTTTTTTTTTTTTTTTGTGGAACCGGGGATTGAACTCAGGCCTTGTGCTTGTCAGGGAAGCACTTATTCTACTGAGCCATCTCCCCGGTCCCCTAGGAAGAAAGATTTACAAGGTATATTTGTCATCTCTTAAGCACTCATAGGTTAGGCCCGTTTTGTTCCACTGAGTACTCCATTCTTGTTCAAGTTCAAGTAGTGCTTAGTGGGGCCAGTGAGATAGCTCAGCAGACTAAGTGTCTGTTTAGGCAACCTCAGAGACCAGAGTTCGATCCCTGGCACCATATGCCATGCCGGCCCACCTCCCAGGGCAAGCTGACTCCTAGTCTTTGGGACGGCCAACGCCATGCTTTTTACCAATGAGTTGCTCTACATGGAGAAGCTGATTCAGGTGGTTACTATGGGCATCTTCATTGCACACTACAAAGCAAAGGACCAAGCGCAGGCCATCTTCCTTTGTGCAGTGGTGGGGGCTGAAGCCAGAGCCTTGTGCCCGAGAGGCTAGTGTTCTAGCACTGAGTGCACCCTTCGCCCTCAGCAAGTCTTTTTCAAGGCCAAATTCCATCTACAACAAAATCCAGGGAAATGCCCCTAATTCTTTTTTTTTTCCCCCTAATTCTTTTACTGCACTGAGATCTCCCATCAAATTGCTGGCAGCTAGCAGGTGTCTGTTCTCATTAGGATTTAGTGTTTGCTCAAAGGAAACGGCCAGCTAGATGACTTAGCAGACTAAAGCGCCTGCTTAGGTAGGCACAGCAACAGAGGCTCCATTGCCAGCGTACGGTGCTGGCCCCACCCCTGGGGCACACTGAGACAGCGAGTGAGACTGGGCATGGTGCTGCACGCCTGTGATCCTAGCGCTTGGGAAGCTGAAAACAGGAGGATCACTACAAGTCCAATCTGTGTAGTAAGACTCTGCAGACCCTGTACTAAATACATTCAAAAAACAAAAACAAAAACAAAAAAACCAAAAGAGACTCAACCTTTGAGAGGAGCAAAAAGGGAGAGGGTGGAACCCTGACCAAGGCTATGTTGTGTGGGCCGGATCCCCAGTGCTGACAGTGTGTGTGGCTTTGAGACAGGGTCTGTTATGCAGTTCCGACTGGCCTTGAGCTCACTCTGTAGCCCAGCTGGTCACGGACTCGTGAGGATCCTCTTGCCACAGCCTCCTGAATGCTGGGGTTACAGGCATGCACCTCGCTCAGCTGCAATGGTCACAGTATTTAAGGTTTCGTGGCCACACCCTGTCTGTGTACCTGTATTGCAA